TGGCATTCTACAAGAATATTGGGAACTATTTGCGAATATCGGCATTCTACAAATCTGACATTCCAGCTCAAACATGTAAGGCCGGAAAACATTTCCCTCAGCAGTGGCCATCATTACAGGTGTTTCTATTTTTCTATTTGCCGCAGCAGGCTACAGCATACATGACCCTAGTTACCTGTGGTTGGCCTGGCCGTGCGTCACTCAGAAAACAACAGGCCAATCAGAAGAGAGGCTCATGAATATTAATTAGACAGGCCAAAATCGACCTGTTCTAAGCAGAGCTCCTGAGAAAGGAGCTGTAAAAATATATTTAGATGGTTTTTGGTACTTACTTGGCAAATATATATTCTTAAGGACATCAAAACCTAAAATAAAACTCCAGAAAGGTGTATAATACGTGACCTTATTTATATTAGTTTGTTTGATATTTTATTCCACCAAACTAGAATAAAACTAGCCACCAGTTTTCTTTGAATGTGAATGGATATAACTGTCATATATAACTCTGTTTATCATTTATAGATGACTTGATTACTGTGCATAAGTTCAAGCCTCCAGCAAAGTGGCGACAATCTTTTGAGAACTATCTTAAAACAGTCCCGCCCTACTATATCACTGTAAGTAATGGAATCAGTAATTCATTTTGACACTACAACATTGTGATTGTATCTTTTGGAATGCATTCAAGTTATTTTGTGTTTTGCTTAATCCTGATTCACGCAGGCCCTGCGGAAAGCACTAAGAATGATGGGAGCTCCAAACCTGTTGGCTGACAACATGGAGTGCGGTCTGAGCTATAGTGTTGTGTCTTATCTCAAAAAGCTCAGTCAGCAAGTATGTTCTAACATAGTTTGTTTTTATAGTCTTTATTCTTAAACGTGCTTCATGAAGTTTATACTGTGTACATTACAGGCAAAGATCGAGGCAGACAGAGTTTGTGCATCAGTAGGAAAAAAGGCGGCACTTGATGGTGGGATTAAACTTCGCTGCAGAAGCTCCGCCCTCTCTCTGGCACACAGGAAGGATTTCACGCAGCTGTTGAACAGTATCATGGGAGATGGGCCAGCTCTGCCAATGGAGGCAAACACCAAGGAGTTTGCTGGCTTTCAACTAGCTGCTCTGAATAAAGTACGGATATATACAACTGTAAATACAGTACACCTTGTGAATGTTTTGTACTGTTTTCATGCAGTCAAAACCACAAAGATGTACATGACATTGCTCGATGTGAATCAAGTCAGAGTGAGATTAACATTTAATGCTGTTTATTTTGAGGGCTGGAATTTAATACAAGTGCTTTACATATGGCACATTTGCAGTTTAGAGTCAAGTTTTTGTGCCTAACCAACTATTCCAACAGGACACAGTTGAGCAAAATCATCCATGTTCAGTTCTCACTAAATCCAGATCACTTATCTCCTGTTTCCTTCTCTTTTTGCACAGGCATTTAAACCGCAAGGACTGCGGAACCCCTATGATATCCCAAGATCTCATCTGCTAGACCAGCTGAGCCGCATGAGGCGGAACCTTCTGCACGCCAGCATCTGTATTCTGAAAGGTCAAGATCAAGGTAACGCTCGGACAGCCATGAATGGTTATTGATTTTCTTAGAGCAGTTTCCCGAGTATCTGGGTTATTTGCTGAATTAAATTTAGCTTTTGGTTTCCAAAAGAATTGTGAGCCTTTTTATCTGATATGGTTATGCTGTTACATGGTACGTTTTGAATGTTATTTATGTTTTTATAATAAATATTTTTCTAGATCAGCTGCACAGTGTTCCTATAGCTCAGATGGGCAACTATCAGGATTTCTTGAAGCATTGCCCGTCCCCTCTGAGAGAAGCAGACCCTGATCAGCCTAAACGTTTGCACACCTTTGGTAACCCCTTCAAATTGGACAAGAAGGTACCTTTAGATCTCTGAATTAAAAAAAAAAAGAAAGCATAATAAAGATTTTACTTTCAGGCAAATAACTTTGTCTCTCTGTGTCAGGCAATGATGGTAGATGAGGCAGATGAATTTGTTACTGGCACTCAAGGCAAAGGCAAACGTCCTGGAGAATCAAGCAGTCCTGCTGGGGGCGGGGCCCCCAAACGCAGACGCTGTATGTCTCCTCTGCTTCGGCTGGGACGGGCATATACACCTCCCAAAACACCACCTAGAAGTAAGTAACCAGCACACACAGGCATAAAATAACCCTTTAGTAGCAGGTCATTCAGAAATTAAAATCCTTTCATTTACTCACCCTTATTCTGTGAGCAAAACTTTGAATCTTCAGTTTTATGCATGTTTCATATCTGATTCAACACAGCTCCAGATAATGATGACACAGAATTGGGCAATCACATCAACAACCATCTCGAGTCAAACCGCAAATCGGACAAGGAGCCGAGTCCTGCACCCGAGTCTGAACTGATCCAGCAGAGGAACCTCCTTCAGCTGGATGAGGTCGAGAACCAGGAAAACAGAGTGCAGGAGAATGGCCAGTCCAGCGATAGTGAGTTTTCTCTGGGCAGCGAGGGTGAAGAGGAGGCCCCACGCCGCTACCCTTCCCCCTGCCAACTGAAGAAGATCAGAAACCAAGAGAGCCAGGAACTGAACTCTGAACTCCGAGTACTCATCACCAAGGAGATCAGGAAGCCTGGCAGACGTGAGTCACAGCGCGCACATACATGTGCAGATGTCTGCTACTTGTCTCTCATTTCCTCTCCTGATGCTCTTTCCTGGGTGGTGTCCAATAAGCGAAGGAGGGGTGACCCACCCACAAACGCTTTGTCTTGGGCCTTGTGAAATCAACTGGCCATGCTTGCTTTTGCTACATGTGCAAATCTGTAACATTGTTACAGCTGGTTTTCATTTGTCATTTTTATTTTTACATTGTAATGAATATTACAGGGTTTTGGAAATTAATTTTTTCTTGTGGTTTTACAGTTGTTTTTTGTCATTGCTCATAACACCATACATCAAACCTTTCTTCTCACCCAATGTCCTTTTTTTTTTCTTTTGTCTTAATGCAGGTTATGAAAAAATCTTCTACCTCCTCAAGCAAATCCAGGGCAGTTTGGAAACACGTCTGATCTTTCTGCAGAGCATAATCAAAGAGGCTGCCAGGTATACTCCAGATTCAAATGCTGATTTTTCAAGTAGATTCTAACTCTACATACTGATATTTGAAAGGTTAAAGCCCCAAGTATGCTTTCTTTTTTTAAAGCATTCTCTAACTCTCACAACTCGAGTCGAAATGATTTTAAATATATTTATTTATTTATTTGGGGTGTAACAATATACACGTATTCGTATTGAATCGTTCGGTATGAGGCTTTTAGGTTCGGTACACATTACAAACCGCAAACGATTTGATTCGTTGGACTAATCCGATTACATTTGGAAAAGAAAACAGCTTAAAGTGTGTGAAACATCACACACTATCTATTATCTGTGCTATCAAATGGACTATACTTTCAGTTATGTGTTCAGCTATACATGTATAAGAAGCATTCAGACCTGAAGTATACTTTGGTCTTGATGTGCAAACCCAAAATTATGCTGCTTTCATTAATATAAATAACCCCATGATGTTTTCATGGACAAAGCTCTCTAATTACTAATCAAATTACGTGTGGTGTGTGTGTGCAGGTTTAAGAAAAGGGTCTTGATTGAGCAGCTGGAGAACTTCTTGGAGGAGATTCACTTAAGAGCCAACAGCATGAATCATCTGGACGGTTTCTGAGCACTCCATCTGTCCTACTTGAAGGACTCGCGAACATATCTGCACTATTTATGTAATGTTATAATAAAGCAACTAAATCAGCAATATTCTACACCAATAAAAAGGCGAGTTACCAAGCAATTCTTTAAAGTTGGAGGTTTGAGTGACTTTGAGGTTTTGTAATTAAATGTAGACTTGCACACTCCAAAAGTCAATTGTTGTTTGTTAAATAACTCATCTCAGGAATGATGTTGCAGAAGATTTAGCATTTGGCAGCAGTGGAACATCTTTCTGGAATTTTGTTTTCCCAATATTCTTAAAAAGCTCTTTCTCGTTTCACAAAAGGGGTATTTTTTATTTTATTTTATTTATTTTTTTTTTCCTTCTCTATAAAAACTGACAAACTTCTGTGAAGGACTGTCTAACTTCTCTGAACTTTTGCTCTCTTGACTAAAAATAGCAAATGACCGTTCTGCACGGAGTAACCGTATTTGATTTACAGAAGCAACAACCGGAAGGATATAATAATGAAACACCCAAACGATGTAAAGTTGATACTTAATCATTCAGGATGGAGTTTAGAGCCACTTATTCATTGACATGGGAAGTTGCTGCTAATGTATTCCTGCATTACTGCCAAATATCCATTATTCCTTAGCTCTTTTTTTAATTTATTTTTTGGTCTGTCTTTGTGTATCTCACCCTCTTAACCCTGCACCCTAATGTAGGGACCAAATCTTTGCCATACGTGTTACCGAGAAAGGCTTCTTTAAAAAGTATTTTTATTATGCTGTATATATGTACATGGTGACATTGAAAATATTATTTAAGAATGTTTTGGTGGAAAGCCTTCTTTTGTATGTATTTGAATAAAGTCTATTTTACACCGTGAATAGTCATGTAAATGTAATTTTTCTGTCATTAATTTCTCAGTGGCACAATGTCATTAAAAAGGATTGCAAATCTTACCATGTTCATTGTGTTTTCTATATACTTAAACCCATCAGTTTGCAGGAATAAAGATTGAAGTGGCTCATCACGTTTTTTTGGCTATTGCTAAACCATAGACTGATGAAACGGACAGCTCTAGCTACTTGGGGAGTTTTGGTTATAGACCTTACAAATTTCAACAGTTTTTAAATGTGTGGCTCAGTACTTAACAGAATTCTTATTTCTGAGATCCATGAAATCAGTAACTGATGGTCACTAAACATTTCCATCAGAATTGAGAAAATTTATTGAGGGCAGATGGGGAAAAAAATGACAGACACTTTGAAGTGCAAAAACCCTGATGTAATAAAATTTTATTTACAGATATGTACAAAAGTCTTGTCCCTCTTCCTGAAGTGTCAGAGGACCCTCCTAACGGTCCTCAGATATCCCTCTGACCCCCCACCCATGAGGGAGGAGGGGTGTGTTGAGTTGGCAAAATCATACAAATGTATATTAACACAAGTCTCCTGTGTGTGTTTGTCATTTGAAGCAGTTGTGATTGCATGTATCATCTCAAGACATCTCGGCTGGATTCAGAACTCGACCTATAAACAGCAATGACCCTGTGGAGTAAAAACCTACAAATTAAACTGATTCTCCAATGTCACAAAACAGATGTCACGCAGATCTGTGTGGGTTCATTGTAGACTAATAACATTGTTTATGATGATCACTCTATGGAGAATTACATCTGCAGTCCCTAAATGTAAATGTAATTGACCTCTCTCTCTCCTAGGTACAATACAAACATTTTGGGTCTGTTTTTTTCTTTTCTTTTTTGGTTACACTTTATTTTAAGGTGTCCTTGTTACAGTTTAATTATACATTTAAGTACAGAGTAATATTAATTAACTATATGTACTCACTATATGGTTAGGGTTTGGCTAAGGGTTACTTGCATGTAATTATGCACAATTAAGTATTATTATAGTAAGTACATGTAACTTTTGTAACAATGACACCTTAAAATAAAGTGTTACCTTTTTTTGAGAGAGAGATCGAAATTAATACTTTTATTCAGCAAGGATGCATTCATTTAGACCTTTATAATGACATTTAAAATGTCCCAAAACAGTTTGACGAAAAAATCATGAATAGCACAACTTTTCAACATTAATAAATGCTTCTCGAGCATACAAGCATACAAATCGGCATACAATAATTAATTCTGAAGGATCATGTGACAAGACTGGAGTGAAAAATCTGAAAAATTCAGATTTGCCATCACATGAATAAATGACATTGTAAATAATATAAATAGAAAATTGTTTTTTATAAACTTTTAAATAGTAATAATTCAGAATATTACTGTATGTCTGATCAAATAAATTTAGCCCTGGTGGGCCTAAGAGACTTTGTCAAAAACATTAAAGAATCTTACTGACCTCAAATGTTTGGACGTTATATACAATTTAATGTCAGGGTAGAGTAATTTTAAGAATGCATGCTATCAGTTATAATTTCAGATTTTAGTATTTACCTGTACTGATCTGCCGTAAGATAAAGAGAAATGGTCGATCTGCTTTGAAAACCGCTGATCGGGATCTTTTCAATAGCACCATTGCTAAAAAGAAAAATAGAGGAAGAAAGCTCAGTCATCAGTTATTTCCCAGCCGATTCACAGCTTGAACAGTCTGTTCAACTATATCCCATCTGTTGACTACAACTGATTCTCAACCAGGTACACATACACCAGGGAGTAGCCTTGCTGAGCATATAAAAGATTACATCTTACATCTTAAAAAAAAAAATCAGGGCTAATATTTGGTAATATCCAGATGTGCTTTTGTCCTCTTCACAACAGAATAATGTTTCTTTAATTTGTTTAATTTGTTTCACAAGGACTTGAGGCTTGTTTTAACTATATCAGTGTCCACACTAACGGATGATAATGTTGTGTTTATTATAAGCATGCGCTGCAGTTTTGTCATCTGCTGCTCAAATGCTCAAGCTCTTTAAAGCAGGACGGATTCTGATTGGCTGTCTATGTTTTTATCTTTTATCAGCTGGAAAAATAAATCATTCAGGCATAACATGAAGTCTATATTATGATATTGGTATGTCAATACAGAGTCAGATCAGTCTTCATTAACATTAAACAGACAGTATTTGATATTCATAAGTGTTCCTAAACATTTCTCTTGTTTTCAATTTCTACACTAATTAATTTTTTTCAGCAAGTAAAATGTCACATACCTGTAGCTGAAGCTGCTTTTGTCCCTTCCTCTGTCACTTCTATTCTTGCCTCATGGAAAGCCTCTGATACAAAGAGCCCTTCTCCATCTGTAGACATATGAAACAGAAGGCTTAATCTTCACAGAGTGAATCATTGATTTAAACTGATGGTGTTTGTGATTATTTCCCAGCATCTATGACTGGTATAAACTGTTTTCGCTTTAACTGTCCTACCTGAGATGCCTCTAAAATCAGCAGCTGAGGGACTGAAGACATCAGAGATACCGAGAGACTGTAAAACAGGCTTCAGATTGAACCTGCTCTGCATCTTAAACCTAAAACACACACAAAACAAGGATATGTCCAATTTGCATAATATAATATTTCACAAGTAATTTTTATTTTTTTGCATGCAGTTACCTGGGCAGAAATATATCCATCTTAGTGCGTCTTAATCCAGTATCCCACAGTCCCACAGCACGGGCCGTGAGCTGCTTTTCCAGCTGGGCCAGAGGTGTTTTCCGGTCACTAGGTAAGGCCACCAGTAGCCTGAGTGAGCGATCCAAGTACAGAAGCTCCAGCACAGTGTACTCCTGCTCGGACGGCAGGCGGAAATGCCCTAAGACAGGTGGACAGGTAAATATATACGCTCTTAGCAGAACAATAGGCTTCCATCCAACTCTTGTATCGGTGTCTGTCTTGTTCCTCCTCTTACCAATATTGACTTCGGTTGACTGGTACATCATCGGGACTTTGACTGTGCTGCCGTCTGAGAGGCTGAAGGGCAGGTTCTGGGTGTCAGTGAAGAGAAATTGTTTCTGCCAGGCACCGTGACACACCACCGTGCTCAGAAGAGCCATGTGCAGTAAACTGTCTTGTCTGGAGGCCTCTTCCTGGGACTCACTGGACTGAAGCTGCTCCTCTTTTGTCTGGAGATGGTCATCAGCTTTAGAAATAAATCATACACTTACACTTAATCATTTATATGAAAACATACAGTATATATCCTACATGTAATATAGTTTCATGTGTCTCATCATAATAAAACAATTTAAATGCACTGACAAATATTTGGTGTAGAAACAATTTTCACTCAATTGCGAAATGAAAATTTGACAAAGAATTGCAAGTAACACATTTAATTAATCGTGACATTTTGAATTAATTTGACCATTTATATTTACATAATTATATTTGAAATTCAAATCAATATCTAATTTGGCATAATATATATTTATTTTTTATCATATATCTACATAATTACATTTAAAAGTCATATTTAAATTCCAATCAATATTAACTTTTACATAGAATATATTTACAAAATTATATTTTAAATTTATTCTTATATTTAAAATAAACTGGAAAATATTTGGTGTAGAAATTGTGAACATTTTACAAATAATTTTACAAGTAACACGTTTAAATAAACATGACATTTTGAATCAAGAAGAATGAAACTACTTTCTTGTAAAAATACTTCAATAATCTTTATTTCATTTACAAGTTTGATTTTTCTTTTTTTCTTTACACTATGGAAATCAATATTTATTTTTACATAATATATATTTACTAGTGCTGTCAAACGCATCCAAAATAAAAGTTTTTGTTTACATTATATATGTATGTGTACGGTGTATATTTTTTATGTATATATAAAGACACACATACAGTATATATTTAAAAATATTTACATGTTTATACATTTATATATTCATATTCTTATATTATTATATTATATATACATATATTTAATATATAAACATAACATATTTTTCTTAAACATATACATGCATGTGTTTGTATTTATATATACATAATAAATATACATGATATACACGCATATATTATGTAAACAAAAACTTTTATTTTGGATGTGATTAATCGTGATTAATTGTTTGACAGCACTAATATTTACATATAAATATTTGACAGTCATAATTATATTTAATTGCACATCATATATTTACATAATTATATTTAAATTAAATTACTTTAACAATATATATTTACAAAGTTAGATTCTAAATTCATAATTATATTTAAATTCTAATCAGTTTAATTTGACATCATATATTTACATAATTATATTTTAAATTCATTATTATATTTAATTTAAAATCATATCTAATTTTAACAT